AAAGATAGTATTTCCCATGGAAATAAAATAATAAATGCAGACATGAACTGCACGCTGCAATATGGGTCCAAAATTACATTCTTTGTACACTCATAAATCTCACTAAAGTCAATAGGAATTTTAGATGCACAAGGAATCCAGGACCAATACCTTCATATCTGCTTTTCCATTTGTACTGGATTATGTAAACAATGTAATGGCTCCCACGAACACTAAAAATCTCTTTAGATGTTTATTTCTGAAATAAACAGTTATCCTGAACTTATTGACTGAAGACAGCACCTTATCTATGACTAAAATCTGGAAATAACAGTAAGAAACATCTGCCTCTTGACTAAATAATATTCTTCTTACTCCTGAAAAAATGGCCTACCAAAAACAAAGTGAGGTGGGGTTATGTCAGACCAGGAAAAGAAAACTGGGACAATTACCCTCACAATAATGGGACCTTTATTAAAACAAGGTTTAAAAATGTAATTAAACCATTGTAATAAAAATAGAGCCAGTTTCATATTGCAAAAACTATAATTGCAAACAGTTGTTCAGATTTCAAAAAGCTTTGTGATTTGATCATATTTCTGCTCCTTTTTACTCAGGATTTGCAGACATTTGGGGGAACCAGCTTTTATTTGTATAAATGTTATAACTGTATAAGTGCTTCTTTTTTCTGGGTTTGATCCTACTCCTATTGACTTAAATGGAAGCAGGATCATGCTCTATGTGAATACGCATACTCACATGTAAGCAAAAACACACATACCCAGACAAGAAGATTTTTTATTCACTTGTGTTATTTGTTAGCTTCTTATTTTTTAAAATTCAGCCAACCTATTGGAGAACAGAACTAGTACCAGACACGTGATGAAGTGCAAAAAGAATGCATGAACATGTTGTAAACAACCCATAGACTGAAACCCGTTGGGTGAAAGTGTTCTTGGTGAATACTTGCAAATAAAGAATACAAAAATAAGGATTCATTGTAGGACCCAAACCCTTGACTAGGGCTCTCCAGGTGATACCATAACACGCATACAAAATAAGAAGTGGTCTGTGAACAGAAAATGGGCCTACATACAGAAATGTATTCACAATGAATAATGCCATCAGTTCTTCCTCAAAGAGAAAAATGTTTTGAAAACATTTATTTTTAACTTTGCTTGCTAATTACATAAATACAATGTTGTGGAGTATTTAATGTTAACTAACTATAAATATATTCCTTTTTGGTATATTTATAGCTTAATATTTTTTTCCAGCAGAGCTAGGATCATGCGACTAAATGGCATGTCTCAGCTGTTGCAAAGTACAAGGTAAAGCCATGTGCCCTCAAACACCCAAGAAATAGTATTATCCAGTATGACACATGCCTAGATATGTCTTATTGTGATCATAATATGGCCTCAAGGTAAAAGTACAGGACAAACACTTCTTATGCTTTTTCATTGGTATTTATATTTATCTCCTCTAAAGAACAGCTTGTATTACAGCTATTTATGCCACCAATCAATAGAACTATTAGTGACAGTTTATAATTGCATATGAAGTAATGATATGTGTTTATACTTGTTTTATATGAAACATATTAGTACTTTGTTGTTTAATCATATTTCATCAGTATCCATCAGTAAAAAAAACAGTATTTATTTCGGCAGAGGTGAAAAACAGTTTTAAACTAGTCTGTACCATGTACTGCAGAACCTGAGAGATCCTGTTGCAAAAGTGTCATAAAAAGATGAGAAATTTTGAAAGCATTATTAAGGGCTTTCAATTATCTTTTGAGATGCTGGGGAATTCCTCAAGATGCTGCATGGTCAATTTAATCAGTGAGAACTGGGAGGGCTCAGCACTTTGGAGAATGTGCTCACACTAGTGAAGGATCAGGTAAAAGGAAACCTATCCTGGATTCATCATTGAGGCAAAAGGAGTATTTAAACCAAAGTGACTTTTGCCCTAGGTTTGAACCCCAGAATACTGAAGATTTTCAATATGTATCTCAGATTTTCTGAAGAGATGCAAAACTTGGAGACAGATTATCATTGCGAGTATCCTGCTGTTTAGTAGGTGAGTTTTCAGACAGATCTACAGAGGATGTACAGGATAAGTAGAAGTCATCCCCTTGTTCCTTTACCTTCTGCATGAAAATGTTTATAAACATCATTATAATAGCATAATCTGTTTGAAGCACACAGACCTATCCCTGGTGTAACTTGGTTGAAGTCAAGCAGAAGGCTGGGCAGGACTGTACACTAACTCATTCAGAGAAGCATAGGCTACAGCCTACTTTTCCAGAATCCATTCATAGCATTTGATGAAGTAGGCTGTAGTCTGCAAAAGCTCATGCCTCTCTGAACAAGTTAGTCGCAAGGGTGCCACGCTACCCTGCCTTCTGCCTGATTTCAGACTCACAGGGCTAACTATCTCTCTCTGCCTCTCACACCACGGATGTGTTTTACCCTTTGAGTTTCATCTGGTGACTGTAAGTAGAGGAAGCTGGTAAGTGGAAGTTCAGTGTAATGTCCAGGCTCTGCAAATATGATTGTTTGCTCTGAAGTGCAAAGTGGCTTCATTCTCTCTCCCTGGTCTTTGACATCATCACAGCTTTTTTTTTTTTGGGGGGGGGGGGGGGGGGGGGG